GCTTGCGATTTGACTCTTTGGAGCAAAAATTGATCCCAAAATCTTAGGGACCAGGGCTTGCGATTTGACTCTTCGGAGCAAAAACTGGGCCCAAGATCTTAGGGACCAGGGCTTGCGATGTCACTCTTTGGAGCAACAATGAATGCAAAATCTTAGGGACCAGGGCCTGCGATTTGACTCTTTGGAGCAAGAATTGAACCCAAAATCTTAGGGACCAGGGCTTGCGATTTGACTCTTTGGAGCAAAAACTGGGCCCAAGATCTTAGGGGCCAGGGCTTGCGATGTCACTCTTTGGAGCAAAAAATGAACCCAAAATCTTAGGGACCAGGACTTGCGATGTCACTCTTTGGAGCAAAAACTGGGCCCCAAATCTTAGGGACCAGGGCTTGCGATGTCACTCTTTGGAGCAAAAAACGAACCCAAAATCTTAAGGACCAGGGCTTGCGATGTCACTCTTTGGAGCAAAAATTGAACCCAAAATCTTAGGGACCAGGGCTTGCGATTTGACTGAACCCAAAATCTTAGGGACCAGGACTTGCGATGTCACTCTTTGGAGCAAAAACTGGGCCCCCAATCTTAGGGACCAGAGCTTGCGATGTCACTCTTTGGAGCAAAAATTGAACCCAAAATCTTAGGGACCAGGGCTTGCGATTTGACTCTTCGGAGCAAAAACTGGGCCCCAAATCTTAGGGACCAGGGCTTGCGATTTTACTCTTTGGAGCAAAGATTGAACCCAAAATCTTAGGGACCAGGGCTTGCGATTTGACCCTTTGGAGCAAAAACTGGGCCCAAAATCTTAGGGACCAGGGCTTGCGATTTGACTCTTTGGAGCAACTGGGCCCAACATCTTAGGGACCAGGGCTTGCGATGTCACTCTTTTGGGCAAGAAATGAGCCCAAAATCTTAGGGAGCAGGGCTTGCGATTTGACCCTTTGGAGCAAAAAACTGTGCCCCAAATCCTAGGGACCAGGGCTTGCGGTTTGACTCTGTGGAGCAAAAATTGAACCCGAAATCTTCGGGACCAGGGCTTGCGATTTGACTCTTCGGAGCAAGAAATGAGCCCAAAATCTTAAGGACCAGGGCTTGCTTTGGAGCAAAAAACTGAGTCCAAAATCTTAGGGACCAGGGCTTGCGATTTGACTCTTTGGAGCAAAATCTGGGCCCCAAATAATAGGGACCAGGGCTTGCGATGTTACTCTTTGGGGCAAGAAATGAGCCCAAAATCTTAGGGACCAGGGCTTGCGATGTTACTCTTTGGGGCAAGAAATGAGCTCAAAATCTTAGGGACCAGGGCTTGCGATGTCACTTTTGGAGCAAAAACTGTGCCCTAGTATTGGGGGGAGGAGGGCTCGTGATTTAGTATTGGGAGGAGGCCCGGGCTCGTAAATTAGTATTGGGGGGAGGCCCGGCCCGTGATTTAGTATTGCGGGAGGCCCGGGCTCGTGATTTAGTATTGGGGGGAGGCCCGGGCTCGTGATTTAGTATTGGGGGGAGGCCCGGCCTCGTAATTTGGAGGCTCGGGCTCGTGATTTAGCCCGGGCTCGTGATTTAGTATTGGGGGGAGGCCCGGGCTCGTGATTTAGTATTGCGGGAAGGCCCGGGCTCGTAATTTAGTATTGGGGGGAGGCCCGGGCTCGTGATTTCGTATTGGGGGGAGGCCCGGCTCGTGGTTTAGTGTTGGGGGGAGGAGGATGCCCCAGCCCCCACCCCCCATTTGGAAATAAATGAATTACTTGAATTAATTGAAATAATTGAATTAATTCAATTAATTCAATTAATTGATTTATTTCCAAAGGGGAGGTGGAATTAATTGAATTAATTCAATTATTTCAATTAATTCAATTAATTCAATTTATTCAATTTATTCATTTATTTCCAAATGGGGGGGATTCCCCAGCCCCCACCCCCCCCCGCTTTGGAAATAAATGAATTAATTGAATTAATTGAATTAATTGAATTAATTGAATTAATTCAACTAATTCAATTAATTCATTTATTTCCAAAGGGGAGGTGGAATTAATTGAATTAATTGAATTAATTGAATTAATTCAATTATTTCAATTAATTCAATTAATTCAATTAATTCATTTATTTCCAAATGGGGGGGATTCCCCAGCCCCCACCCCCCCCTTTGGAAATAAATGAATTAATTGAATTAATTGAATTAATTGAATTAATTGAATTAATTGAATTTCAATTAATTCAAATAATTCATTTATTTCCAAAGGGGAGGTGGAATTAATTGAATTAGTTGAATTAATTCAATTATTTCAATTAACTCAATTAATTCAATTAATTCAATTAATTCAATTAATTCATTTATTTCCAAAGGGGGGGGAGGGGTGGGGGCTGGGGAATCCCCCCATTTGCAAATAATTGAATTAATTGAATTAATTGAATTAATTGAATTAATTGAATTAATTGAATTAATTGAATTAATTGAATTAATTGAATCAATTCAATTAATTCAATTAATTCAATTAATTCCACCCCCCCTTTGGAAATAAATGAATTAATTGAATTAATTGAATTAATTCAATTAATTCAATAAATTCAATTAATTCAATTATTTCCAAAGGGGGGGGGGGTGGGGGCTGGGGAATCCCCCCCATTTGGAAATGAATGAACTAATTGAACGAAATTATTTAAACTATCGCGGCTCGATTTGGCCAAATTTTGCCGGGCAGCCTGCGGGCAAAATTTGGCCAAATCGGGCTGCTCTTCGTACGCCATGAGAAATGCGCGGCTCGATTTGGCCAAATTTTGCCCGGAGGCTGCCCGGCAAAATTTGGCCAAATCGAGCCGCGCATTTCTCAGCGCGTACGACGAGCAGCCCGATTTGGCCAAATTTTGCCCGCAGACTTCCCGGCAAAATTTGGCCAAATCGAGCCGCGATAGTTTAAATAATTTCGGGCCTCCAGAAAGGCGCGGCTCGATTTGGCCAGATTTTGCCGGGCAGTCTGCGGGCAAAATTTGGCTGCTCGTCGAACGCGATGAGAGATGCGCGGCTCGATTTGGCCAAATTTTGCCGGGCAGCCTCCGGGCAAAATTTGGCCAAATCGAGCCGCGCCTTTCTGAAGGCCCGAAATTTTTAAACTATCGCGGCTCGATTTGGCCAAATTTTGCCGGGCAGCTTCCGGGCAAAATTTGGCCAAATCGGGCTGCCCTTCGTATGCGATGAGAAATGCGTGGCTCGATTTGGCCAAATTTTGCCCGGAGGCTGCCCGGCAAAATTTGGCCAAATTGAGCCGCGATAGTTTAAATAATTTCGGGCCTCCAGAAAGGCGCGGCTCGATTTGGCCAAATTTTGCCGGGCAGCCTCCGGGCAAAATTTGGCCAAATCGAGCTGGGGGGTGGGGTCTGGGGAATCCCCCCATTTGGAAATAAATGAATTGATTGAATTAATTGAATTAATTGAATTAATTGAATTAATTCAATTAATTAAATTAATTCAATTAATTCCACCCCCCCTTTGGAAATAAATGAATTAATTGAATTAATTGAATTAATTGAATTAATTGAATTAATTAAATTAATTCAATTAATTCCACCCCCCCTTTGGAAATAAATGAATTAATTGAATTAATTGAATTAATTGAATTAATTAATTAATTAATTAATTCAATTAATTCATTAATTCATTTATTTCCAAAGGGGGGGGAGGGGTGGGGGCTGGGGAATCCCCCCCATTTGGAAATAAATGAATTAATTGAATTAATTGAATTAATCGAAATAATTCAACTAATTCAATTAATTCAATTATTCATTTATTTCCAAAGGGGAGGTGGAATTAATTGAATTAATTGAATTAATTCCAATTAATTCAATTAATTCAATTAATTCAATTAATTCAATTAATTCAATTAATTCAATTAATTCAATTAATTCAATTAATTCAATTAATTCAATTAATTCAATTAATTCAATTAATTCATTTATTTCCAAAGGGGGGGTTCAATTAATTCAATTAATTCAATTAATTCAATTAATTCAACTAATTCAATTAATTCCACCCCCCCTTTGGAAATAAATGAATTAATTGAATTAATTCATTAAATTCATTAAATTCCAGGGGGAAAGTGGAAATTAAGGAATTTAATGAATTAAATTCTGTCTGTGCAACCCTACAGGACCTAAAATAGGGTCTATTTGGAACATGGCTCTTGTGAATAAGTATACGTTTTGGGGCCTGTTTTCCTCTTGTAAATACGATTCCCAGCTTCCAAATAGACCCTATTTAAGCTGCACACCCCCCCCCCCCCCCGCCACCCGCCCCCGCCCCCACCCCCCCCCACCGGTTTAGGGTTTAGGGTTTAGGGTTTAAGGTAATCCCCTTAAGTTCTGAGCCTTAAACCCTAAACCCTGCACTCAACATCTTTGGGATATCAGGCTCTGGGTCACCTAACATAATGGAAGCCCTTCAAGAAACGTCTAGGGTTTATTAAGGGGTACCACGAGGGACCCCTAGAAGGGATGTAGTCCCTCTATACCTCACTAGCCCCGAAATGAGCCCTAAACCCTAAACCCTAAACCCTGAACCCTAAACCCTGAAACCCTAAAGAGCCCCCAAGGCCCCTTATAAGGGTGCCTCCTTTAGTCCGTTGAGCTTAGGGCTCGGGTTTAGGGCTTAGGGTTCGACACTCTTTGCACCCCTCTTTGCTAAAGCCACCTCAGCATGAACCCCCCAAACTTGGGATGTTCCCCCTTTTTGCTACCTTAATGGGTTATAGTACCCCTTAATGGGGATTATAGTACCCCTCAATGGGGATTATAGTACCCCCTACGTACTATAATCCCTATTGAGGACTGTTAGTATAGGGGGGGGGGGGGGGGCATCCCCACCCCAAACCCTAAGTCCACAGAAAACACCACCTGCGCCACCTGCGTCCCGGAATCAAAACAGCGCAGGCTCAGGGCTTGGGGTTTAGGGTTTAGGGTTTAAGGTTTAAGGTTTAGGGCTTTTGGGATCTGTCGCCCTAAACCCAGCTCGCAGACTGAGCCTCCTCCTTTCGCCGCTGATGCAACAGCTCCTCGTGTTCTTCCGGTTTCGGGTCTCCCTAAGCCCTAAATCCTGAGCCCCAAACCCCAAAAGCCAGGGTTTAGGGTTTAGGGTTTAGGGTTTAGGGTTTTGGGGGATTCCATCTCTTGTAGGATGGCGCGAGTTGCTTCAATTGCCCGTCCGCTTGATGATTTTGCTGCGGAGGGCTGTTCGTGAGGTTGCATGACGAATCTAGCACGGCACCAGCTGGCTGGACCCCGTGGAAGATCATATACCAAAACCCCAAACCAAAGCCCCAAAACCCGAAAGCCCTAAACCTCTGTCATCTGATAACCCTCTCAAAAACCCGGCAATGCCTAGGTACTGACCTTGTGCTAAGAAACTAAAACCCTAAGCTGTTTGGCCCTAAACCCTGAACCCTAAACTCAGCAAAGCGACCAGAGTCTGTGCGTCCGGGGCGATTTCAAGCTTTTAAGTGTTAGGATTTAGGTTTTGGACAAAGGGTTTCGGGTTCAGGGGTCCAGGGGTTTCGGGTTCGAGGATTCTAGGGTTATCGCTTATATAGGGTTTAGCCGGATTAGGGAAGGGGTTTAGCCTTTGAGGTTAGAGGGTTGAGTGAAACTGCAACGTGTACCAACGCACTTGCAGCACATCCGTTGAATAGCAAGACCCGAAACCCTAAACCCTGAACCCTAAACCCTAAACCCTAAAACTCTAAACCCTAAACCCTAAAACCCTAAACCCGAAAGACCTTGAACACGACTTGGAGGTTCATGGGTACTTCGAACCCCAACTATTTGGAGGTTCATGGGTACTTATAACCCCAGTTATGAGTCTACTTATAACCTACTTAGGTGACTTACTGTGGATGGAGGAAATCTTGCACCACTTTTGCAAGGCCGGCCTGTGGCAAGGGATTTTGTTCAGTCAGTCTCCAGAAGTAGGCGCAGCCTCTAGCAACAAGGTCACAGGCTGTTGCAGACAGTGGAGAAGGTATATAGCGGATTCCGTCATTCCGGCTCAAGAGGCTTCTGCTCCCAAGGTCACAGGCGGTGCAAGATTTCCTCCATCCACCGTAGGGGGCTTATAAGTACAGAGTGGGGTTACAAGTACCTGTGAACCTCCAAGTATGATTGTAAGTCTACTTAGAACCTACTTAGAGGACCTAGGGGGGCAATATGTTTATTTTTTTGGGGGGGGGTTCTTTATTAAGCAATTAGTAAGTTAGCTGGTCGACCTCTCACCCCGCTCTTGAGATACGTGGTTTCGTTAAAGCTCTGGAACTTCTCGGACGCCTTAGAGAACCCTAAACCCAACCCGGAGCTCTGAACTCTGAACCCTGGACCCTAAACCCTAAACCCCTAAACCCTAAACCCCGAAACCCCAAACCCCTGAACCCCTAAACCCCGAAACCCTAACCCGAAACCCGAAACCCGAAACCCGAAACCCTAAACCCTAAACCCTAAACCCTAAACCCTAAACCCTAAACCCCTAAACCCAGCTCCCAGTCTCCTCCTCCTCCTCCTTTCGTCGCCGCTGATAGAACCGCTCCTCATGCTTTGGGCTCCAGGTACCGGGTTTCGGCTGCTTAACCTGGGGCTCCATGTACCTACTATGTCTGGGGGGGGGGGGGGTTAGTATGTACCCTCTATTTCGAGGTTTCTAGCCCCAAACCCTAAACCCTCTCTTACTATGTATATTTAAACCCTAATGACCTTCGTGGGCATGTGGTTTTTTTTTCTGGGCCCTAAACCCTGACCCCCTTCGTGGGCAAATGGTTTTTTTCCTGGGCCGTGCCTCCAAAAACACCCCAAATGAGGGGGACCCCAGGATCGGCCCGGGCCCCAGTTCAAAATGCGATTTTTTAGTACTGAAATCGACGCTTCTGGGTGGGCTCTCGTTTTCTGGATTTTTGATCAAAACCGAGCCTTTGGGCCCTAAACCCTGACCCCCTTCGTGGGCAAATGGTTTTTTTCCACCCGGGGCGGCCCTAAACCCTGACCCCCTTCGTGGGCAAATGGTTTTTTTCCACCCGGGGGGGCCCTAAACCCTGACCCCCTTCGTGGGCAAATGGTTTTTTTCCACCGGGGGGGGCCCTGAACCCTGACCCCCTTCGTGGGCAAATGGTTTTTTTCCACCCGGGGGGGGCCCTAAACCCTGACCCCCTTCGTGGGCGAATGGTTTTTTCCACCCGGGGGGGCCCTAAACCCTGACCCCCTTCGTGGGCAAATGGTTTTTTTCCACCCGGGGGGGCCCTAAACCCTGACCCCCTTCGTGGCCAATTGTTTTTTTTTCACCCGGGGGGGGCCTAAACCCTGACCCCCTTCGTGGGCAAATGGTTTTTTTCCACCCGGGGGGGGCCTAAACCCTGACCCCCTTCGTGGGCAGATGGTTTTTTTCCACCCGGGGGGGCCCTAAACCCTGACCCCCTTCGTGGGCAGGGGGGGCCCTAAACCCTGACCCCCTTCGTGGGCAAATGGTTTTTTTCCACCCGGGGGGAAACCCTGACCCCCTTCGTGGGCAAATGGTTTTTTTCCACCCGGGGGGGGCCCTAACCCTGACCCCCTTCGTGGGCAAATGTTTTTGTTCCACCCGGAAGGGCCCTAAACCCTGACCCCCTTCGTGGGCAAATGGTTTTTTTCCACCCGGGGGGGGCCCTAAACCCTGACCCCCTTCGTGGGCAAATGGTTTTTTTCCACCCGGGGGGGCCCTAAACCCTGACCCCCTTCGTGGGCAAATGGTTTTTTTCCACCCGGGGGGGCCCTAAACCCTGACCCCCTTCGTCGTTAGGTTTTGGGTGAGGCCCTAAACCCTGACCCCCTTCGTCGGCAAATGGTTTTTTCCACCCGGGGTAGACAAGGGTTTAGGGCTCTTAGGGTTTGGGGCATAGGGATTAGGGCTGTAGGACTTGGGACATAGGGTTTAGCATTCTTGGGGTTTGGGGCATAGGGTTTAGGATTTGGGGCATACGATTTAGGGTCTATTGTGAGTTTTGGACCAACTAGACTTTGAGCATTAAGCCTACCGGGAAAGTATTGGTTGAACTTTATATTCTCTCAATGTTATGGGTTTCTTGGGTGGGTGGGATTTTTTTCCGACGCTTGACAAGCTGCTTGACTAGTGAATGCTTGGACTTGAGATGCTGAACCCTAAACCCTAAACCCTAAACCCTAAACCCTGAACCCTGAACCCTAAGCCCTAAACCCTAACCCACTAATTTGTAGGGTTTGGGAGTCACAGGAGACCCTGAACCGGTTGCAGGAGGTCCGTAGGGGCTTGGGAGCTCTCAAGGTTTGGCAGTTGAGGGGTTCGGAGTTCGGGGGTTTAGGGTTTAGGGTGCGGGTTTAGGGTTTAGGGTTTAGGGTTTAGGGTTTAGGGTTTAGGGTTTAGGGTTTAGGGTTTAGGGTTTAGGGTTTAGGGTTTAGGGTTTAGGGTTTAGGGTTTAGGGCTTAGGGATTAGGGTTTAGGTTTTAGGGTTCGAGGGGGTTTATAGTCTTCAGGCTTGAAGGTTCGGGTGTTGAGGTGCTTCAAGTTTAGGGGCTGAATTCGGGTCATTAAGGTTTAAGAGCTTGGGCGGTTGCTGGTTCAGGCCTTCATGGGCTTCAGGTTTGGGAATTCAAGGGTTCAGGGTTGTCTTGGGCGTGCACTTGCTGCATGCTTTAGGGGCTAGTGCTTAGGGTTTAGGGATCTAGGGTTACAGCCAGGGCCGTCGGGCGGGGATTCCATCTCTTGTAGGAGGGCGCGAGATGCTTCAATTGCCTGCTTGATGATCTTGCTGCAGAGGGCTCTCTGTTCATGAGGTTGCATGACGAATCTAGCACGGCACCAGCTGGCTGGACCCCATGCCAAAACCCCAAACCAAAGACCTAAAGTAGCCAACGTGTCTCAACTCCCCCAAACCCCGAAAACCCTAAACCTCTATCATCTGATAACCCTCGCAAAAACCCGGTAATACCGTAATACCGAGGTAGTGACCTGGTGCTAAGGAACTAGAACCCCTTTTGGCCCTAAACCCTAACCCTAAATTCAGCTAAGCGACCAGCGTCTCTGCATCCTGGGCGATTGCAAGCTTTTAAGTGTTAGAATATAGAATTGGGATGTAGGGTTTCAGGTGTACAAATCCAGGGGTTTCGTTTTAGAGGGTTTCTAGGGTTGTGGGTTATATAGGGTTTAGCCGGATATGGGGGTTCAGCCGTTGGGGTTCGAGGGTTGAGTGGAACTGCAACGTGTACACACACTTGCAGCACATCCCCTGAATGCCAATTCCAGGTCGACTGCTTTGGCGAACTCAGAACAGAGGATGTAGGGTTTAGGGTTTCGGGTTCACCCTAACCCCGAAGCCCCACACAAACGCAGGGTCTTGAGGGGTTGTGCAGACTACAAGTCAACACGAGCTGGCACCACATGTCAATGTTTATGAAGGGTCCCTACACGGTTTAGGGTCAAACTTTGGGCTTTCCTAAACCCCAAACCCCAAACCCTCAACCCTCAACCCTAAACCCTAAACCCTAAGCGTATGCATACGGAACAGGGGCAGCTGAGCAGAGGATTTAGCTGGCAGGCCTCTCCCCCTTCCGAACGGTTTTGCTGCAAAGCTCTGGAGCTGCTCGGAAGCCCTAAACCCTAAACCCTGAACCCTAAACCCTAAACCCTAAACCCTAAACCGCTGCTCGGAAGCCCTAAACAGGCCTGAACCCTAGACGGGAGCGTTAGACCAGCAAAACCTTCGCATAGTTTAGGGTTTAGGGTTTAGGGTTTAGGGTTCAGGGTTCAGGGTTTAGGGTTTAGGGTTTAGGGTTTAGGGTTTAGGGTTTAGGGTTTAGGGTTTAGGGTTTAGGGTTTAGGCTCTAGGGTTGGTTTAGGGTTTGACCCAAAATGAGAAGCAACTTCATGCCTGAAATATGGAGCTGTAGCACAGTGTTATTGAAAATCTACTTGCGATTCAAGGACTTCCTCTTGGTTTCAGGGTTTCGGGTCTATCTTCGGGTATAGTTACGTGGTCCCTTAGTATGGGACCCCTTGTAGACCCTTACATACCTGACACAAGCCTAGGGCCCATATCATACTTCAGAACCCTTTAAAGAAGGTAAGGGACCATACGAAGGGCCCGGTAAAGTACCCTTAGAGTTTAGGGCTTGGGACACCCCAAATTCTCCATGTCTCCGAGTCGTCTGGAGCAGGCGCTTTCTCAAGCTCCTAACACTGCGGACGGGTTCCGGGTGGTTAGGCATACCCGCGTAATGCCATCCTATGGGAAAAGTTTACTTGTTGACGTTTCCGGGAAGCTCGGAACCCCTAACCCTGAGGGGTTTACTCTAGGCGTTAGAGCTTGGGGGGGGGGGGGGGGGGGGGGGGGGGGGGGGGGGTGGAAGGATTTCAGAGTGTAAAGGTTTCGGTTTCGGGTTGGAGGGTCCCTTACGGCAACGATCACGCCGTAAAGGCCGGTCATACCCAACCTAACACCTCCACTCTCGACCCTAACCCCTCAACCCTAAATCCTAAACCCTAAACCCCCCCCCATGTGGCCTTTGCAGCAGTCTTCACCCGCTTCGAGGCCGGTAGAGCAGCAGACTCCGCAGAGGCTCAGGGCTTTGTAAGGGGTTAGGGTATAGGGTTTCGCGCACTTAGTTGCTGAGTCCATAAGCCCCCAAATAGTGTACACTTTCAGTTCTATAGCGGATGATTCTGATAGTATCCCAAAAAGTGTAAAGTGTGCTCACGCAGCTATTGAGTGTACTATCGAGGTACTAGGGTTCATACAGGCTGGCAAGGCCATGGAGCGGCATACTCCGCAAGGTTAGAAACGGTTTCACATTTGTGCAACGAGTTGAAGCCTCCAAAGTCATTGGCCCAACCTAACAACACCAGTAGAAACAACATCCATGATGGTGATAATCCCCCCCCCCCCCCCCCAATTGTGCATGTTACTAACGTCAAATAGGAAGAGGTACGTCCCAGAGAGCCCCAAACCCCTTATTCAAGGCATTTACCTTAAACTATGAAGGGATCCCTAGTATGATTTACTAGACCCAGGCATAACCAAGGAATCACCAGGGTGCCCTTTTTGTTTTAAACAAGGGAATAAGGGCCTGCCCTTCGTTTAAAATGCTCTAAACTCCTCCCTTTTAAACTCCAGCATGAGCCCGTGGAGCGTTTGGTTTAGGGTGCAGGGTTTAGGGTTTAGGGTTTAGGGTTTAGGGTTTAGGGTTTAGGGTTTAGGGTTTAGGGTTTAGTAGCAATAGCAATAGCAATGACCATAGCAATAGCAATAGCGCTGGCAAATGCAGCATTCATAGCACTAGCGCTAGCACTAGCAGTAGCAGTGGCAAGGGCAAAAGCAATAGCAATAGCAGTAGCAGCAGTAGCAGTAGCAATAGCAATAGCAATAACCATCATCGAAGCAATACTCGTCATAACTTAGTATAGCAATAACACTCCTGAAGGCAATCAGAAAATTGTAATAGTAACACGTGGGAAAAACACAAGCTCGAAGAAATTTTGTAAAGATGCGGTAATTAGGGAGTAATACTAGAACTTCGCCCAACTGGCGTGGAAATGCGTCTTCCATTCGGGTTTACAAGTGGACCAACCCAATGCAGAAAGCTGGGTTTTCTGAATATTTGGGCCCGCCAGAGCTCAGATCCTTGGACCCTGACACCGTAAACCCTAAACCCTAAACCGTAAACCCTAAACCCTAAACCCTGAACCCTAAACCCTAAACCCTGAACCCTGAACCCTAAACCCTAACCCTGAACCCTAAACCCTAAACCCTAAACCCTAAACCCTAAACCCTAAACCCTAAACCCTAAACCCTAAACCCTAAACCCTAAACCCTAAACCCTAAACCCGCACCCTAAACCCTAAACCCCCGAGGATGGTTTCCTACCCGGAAACCTGGGTTCGTGAGGGGTTTAGGGTTTAGGGCTTAGGGTTTAGGGATTAGGGTTTAGGGTCTCTTGACGAGTTGAAGGGATGGCGAACGGCTTTGTCTAAGGCACGGGCTCTTCAGGAGTTAAAGGGGTGACAACTTCTTTACAAGGTTGATGGCGTGGAGTGGATGGTCTAAGAATCCTAAACCCCAAACCCTAAACCCTAAATCCTAAATCCTAAATCCTATGATGCCTGAACCCCGAAAATCTGGGACTTGGGTTCAGGATGTCAGGATTTAGGGTTTAGGGTTTAGGATTTAGGGTTTAGGGTTGTCCTCCACTTCCTTCTCGTTGGTGCTCGCCTGGCCCTTGACCTCCTCGGTGACCTCTGCAAATATCACCCATGCTTCACAGGGTGTGGGATGCAACCTCCTGAAGTCCTGAAAGCCCGAAACCCGAAACCCGAAACCCTAAACCCTAAACCCTGAACCCTGAACCCTGAAACCCTAAGCCGGCCTCAATCGTAGTCCTATTTAAGGCTCAAACCTCCCCAAACCGGTAGCAATGAAGAGGAAGTGGAACTTGCCGCATGCGCTCCAAAACAACGCATCTACCCTCCTTCGTTGCCAGATGCTACATCAACTCATAAGAAACCGTGTTTGGGAAAAACTGGTTGGGAGTAGATCCGATGGGAAAACCTTCCGCTCACACCCAAACTGCCAGAAATCCCTAAACCCTAAACCCTAAACCCTAAACCCTAAACCCTAAACCCTAAACCCTAAACCCTGAACCCTACACTCCTAAACCCTAGACCCTTCATGCCATGGGCTCGCCGCAGTTCGGGCCCTAAACCCTAAACCCTAAACCCTAAACCCTAAACCCTAAACCCTAAACCCTAAACCCTAAACCCTAAACCCTAAACCCTAAACCCTAGACCCCAAACCCTAACCCTAAACCCTAATCCCCTGAGTAGCCTTGCGGAACTTGGATGGGCGATCGTGCGCCGGCTTGACCGATAGCACCGTCACCTCAGGGCTCGTACACCCCTAAACCCGAAACCCTAAACCCTAAACCCTAAACCCCTGAGTAGTTTAGGGCTTCTTTAAGAAACTAAAGGAAGGGCCTCTCTTCAAGGCACCCGGGGGGGGGGGGGTTATGTAGGGCGCAATCTTGGGGCTACCTAGGTCTGTAGGGATTTTACTGCGGCGGGTTTACGTTTCGAGGTTCAGGGTTTAGGGTTTAGGGTTTATGCTATATTATGGTATGTTGTCTACGCATATATGTATATATTTATACTTATATAAGATACTTGTTGATATTCATGTTTATCTGTGTACATGTATATAGGGGATATGTAACGTAGTAGGATGAAGGGTTCCTTTTCGGGTCCGGGACGTAGGCTGTGTTGCAAAACCGTCCTACGCCCTAAAGCCAGCCATACCCTCAACTTTGGGGGGGGTCGGGTTTACGACATTAAGGACTGTGGCTTCATGAGGGGCTACTTTCGGAAGAAAGGCTAATGGCAACCATGGGACTGTCGCAAAATGTCCTTCCCGAAGCCTTTTTACCCTGGACAGAAAAACGCAAAACCTCGAAAAAACCCATACGAAACCATCCCCGTTAGTGAACCCGCTGGGTAAACCCTAAGCCCTCAACCCGAAACCCTAAACCCCATCACGCTTATCGCGACCTCTGCACCTGTGGGGCCGAATACCTGTAAACCCGAAGGCCCAACTTTTTACACCCAAAGCCCACACTCTAAACATGAACATCGCTTGCCGGATTTGGGTATAAATCGCGAAATGAAGCCTTAAGCCGGAGAAACCTTCAATGAGGCCGAGAAACCCTAAGCCTAGAACCGCCTAAACCCTAAACCCTAAACCCCAAACCCCCAACCCCAAACCCTAAACTCTAAAGCCTAAACCCCTAACCCCAAACCCTAAACCCTAAACCCTAAACCCTAAACCCTAAGCTGAGCCTCCTCCTCCGCTCTCTCCGAGGCTGCGAGGGTGGCTTTCGCTGCAGCGGCCGCCTTGGCTTCGGCTGAAGCCTGCAGGGTGGCAAGGGTTTAGGGTTTAGGGTTTAGGGTTTAGGGTTTAGGGTTTAGGGTTTAGGGTTTAGGGTTTAGGGTTTGAGGTTTGAGGTTTGGGGTTTGGGGTTTGGGGTTTGGGGTTTGGGGCTTAGGGTTTACGACTTAGATTTGCTAGGCGGGCCATCCTGTGACAATGCCCTAAATTCTCCCTTTCTTGTTTTTTGGGTCTAGGGTTTGGGGTTTAGGGTTTAGGTCAATTTTGAACAATCGGCCATTGGCCACCAATCGTGTTTAGATTTCGGGCCCAACTGGGCTAGGGTTCGGGGCCACTAAACCCAAAACCCAAAGCCCTAAACCCCAAACCCTAAACCCGAACCCTAAAACCCTAAAACCCCAAACCGTGAAAACCGCAAACGCTGCTCCCCGTAAACCCTGAAGCTCCCAAGTACGCCCTAAGGGTTTAGGGTTTAGGGTTTAGGGTTTAGGGTTTAGGGTTTAGGGTTTAGGGTCTAGGGCCCAAACCCGAACTCCAAACCCCTGCATCCCTCAATCTTGGTGAACCCAAAATCCCTACAGGGTTTTCGGATGTGGTAAAGGCTCACCCGCTAAAAACTACAAACCCCAAACCCTAAAACTACAAACCCTAAGGCCTAAGCCCTAAGCCCTAAGCCCTAAGCCCTATGTCCTAAACCCTACACCCCAAACCCTTAACCCTAAACCCTAAACCCTAAACCCTAAACCCTAAACCCTAAACCCTAAACCAACCTTGCCCGTCTGCAGGGTGGACATGGACTTCGGCGCAGGCTGCGGAGTCGCCGCGCCGGCGATGGCACCTCTAAGGTTTAGGTTTAGGGTTTAGGGTTTAGGGCTTAGGGTTTAGGGTTTAGGGTCCAAGGTTTTTGGGTTTGTATAGCATCCGAAGTATGGGCCGTCAATTCAATTAGGGTCCCCCTGTTGAGGTTTAGGGTTCAGGGTTTAGAGTTTACGGTTTACGGTTTAGGGTTTAGGGTTTCGGGTTTAGGGTGGGTTTAAGGGCATCCGAAGTCAAAGTATGGCCCCTGAATTAGGGTCCCCGGTTTAGGGTTTAGGGTTTGGGGTTTAGGGTTTAGGGTAATGCAGGCCCATACTTCGGATCCCTGTAAATCCCTTTGAGCAAGGGTAAGCGACCATGCTAAGGGCCCGGGGTTCCAACGCTAGAATATATGTGGGGTTTTGGGCTTTCGGGTTTAGGGTTTAGGGTTTAGGGTTTGGGGTTTGACGTTTTGGGTTGGGGTTTGGGGTTTTAACGTTTGGGTTTGAATTTGCGGCGTCGGGTGTGGGGTTCAGGGTTGAAGTTTTGGGGTTTGTGGTTGTGGGCTTGGTTTTAGGGTTTAGAGTGTGGATTTCTGGGTGTGAAAGTAACCCTAAACCCTAAACCCTAAACCCTAAACGCTAAACCCTAAACCCTGAACCCGAAAAGGGCTTAGACAGGGGCTTCCTCAACCCCAGGAGACCTAAGCCGTGTAAGATCCCAACCCGAAACACAAAACATCACTTGAGCTGTGATAAACCCTAACAAATCAAACCCTAAACCCTAAACCCTAAACCCTAAACCCTAAACCCTAAACCCTAAACCCTAAACCCTAAACCCTAAACCCTAAACCCTAAACCCTAAACCCTAAACCCTAAACCCTAAACCGACTCTGGCCCCTGCAACAGCTTCGAGCCATCGCGTGTGCACGAAAATCTGCGCAAACCTACACGAAGAACAAACACACTAGCGCCCTACTATGTCGAGGCAAAACCTATGCGAACCAGCCCCCCCCCCCCCCCCCCCCCCAAAAAAAAAAAAAAAAAAACGCCCTCAACCATGAATGGGGCCATCTTCGCTGATCGCGAGAGAAGCTGGGGGCGGAACCAGCAGTGGTCGTTTCGGGCTCCACATCCACAATGGTGTTCAAATCCTGGCGGCACGAAGGGAGAGTGCTCTACAAGACCTTGCGTGTTCATAGGGTGGGTTGAGGGTGTCTGGAGTTTAGAGTTGAAAGTCAAACCCATGAATCCAAGCCCTGCACCCTATAAAACCCCACAGTCCTGAACTGAAGCTTCGACCCGCTTGAGGTTGTGTTACGCTAAACCCTAAACCCTAAACCCTAAACCCTCAACCCGAAACCCTAACCGCTTAGGGCTTCTTTCGCAGAAGGCATTGCCCCAGGACCCACATGCCTTGCCGCTTCGCAGAACCGATTTGGGCGCAGTTGCCGGAGCCGGAGCCAACGCCAAACCTTGTACTGTGGGCTTAGGGCTCAGGGTTCAGGGCTGTACCCTAAACTTCCCTCTGAAACTAAACCCGTTACCGCGTACCCTGCACCGGAACCCTAATTCCGCGTCCCTCGGCCCGAAAAACTAAACCTCATGCCTCCCTGCATAAATCCCAAACCCCGGAGGAAGGCCCAGACTCTGCGTGTTTAGGGTCGTCGCCTGACATGGTTCTTGATCGCATGCTCCAATAGGAATTTCCATAGCATAAGGCAGGCTATCACATGTCAAGCTAAACCCTAAACCCTAAACCCTAAACCCTAAATACTCAAGGTCATGATCTTCGCTGAAGCTGGGGGAGGAGCCAGCCCGGGTCGCCTTAGGCTCCACATCCACGGCGGAGACCACGTCCTGGCTGCACTAGGGTTTAGGGTTTAGGGTTTAGGGTCTAGGGTCTAGGGTCTAGGGTCTAGGGTCTAGGGTTTAGAGTAGAAATATGATCCTCTCAAAGGCATGAACGGAAAATATGACATGTGCTCAGAGCCTACCCAGAAGAAGAGCTTCACGAGATCTTGAGGGTTTAGGGTTTTGAGATTTTAGGGCTCAATGCTGCTGTGCCTGGGGAGACGCCATCAATTTCATCTTGTTCGGCTTCTCCCGGGCAGCTTGCCTCCTGGATCAGATGGAAAAGGGTTTAGGGTTTAGAGTTTAGGTTTTAGGGTTTAGGGGTAAGCCCTAAGCCCTCAACCCTAAACACTGAACCCTAAACCCTAAACCCATTCGTTCAAGGGGTTGAGGGTTGGGAGTCTGGGTTCAGGGACCCAAGCAGGCCCCCAGACCCTAAACCCTAAACCCCAAACCCTGAACCCTAAACCCCAAACCCTAAACCCTAAACCAGCCCTAAACCCTAATTAGGCAGGCCATGTGGCATCTTGTTGCGCGGCAGCAGTGGGTTGTCAACTGCACTTCCAGGCCTCGGAACCGCGATGGGTGGTCGAGGGTTCAAGGGTCAAGGGTTTAGGGGTCAGGCATTATCCTAAACCCTAAACCCTAAACCCTAAACCCTAAACCCTAAACCCTAAACCCTAAACCCTAAACCCTAAACCCTAAACCCTAAACCCTAAACCCTAATTGCAAAACGCAACCAGAGATGCGACCCCTCCAGCAGGCGTTGCTCCATGGAGGCCTGGCTTTGAGGGTTTCGGGCTTCAGATTTAGGGCTTGTAATCAGGCTCGAGGGGATCCGCAGTTTCGGCCCTAAACCCTAAACCCTAAACCCTAAACCCTAAACCCTAAACCCTAAACCCTAAACCCTAAACCCTAAACCCTAAACCCTAAACCCTAAACCTTTGAGTTGCCTCGTATCTCGCAGGCGGCGGCTGGGGTTGTCGCGCCGGCTCCGACTCGCCGCCGCGCCCAGGGTCAAAAGATGCGCCTATCAGGGGCCCAGGTTTGGGTTGAGGGTTGAGGGTTGAGGGTTGAGGGTTGAGGGTTGAGGGTTGAGGGTTGAGGGTTGAGGGTTGAGGGTTGAGGGTTGCGTGTTGCGGGTTGCGGGTTGAGGGTTGAGGGTTGAGGGTTGAGGGTTTAGGGTTTAGGGTTTAGGGTTTAGGGTTTCAACCCCCCCCTCCCCCGCCCAAGATCTACGCCGAAGAGGGGCCAGGTCAAGCGCTGAGAGCTCAGGGCTGGCTAGGGACTCGGAAGTTCGATGCTCTGTGTATGGGATGTGGGGTTTAGGGTTTAGGGTTTAGGGTTTAGGGTTTAGGGTTTAGGGTTTAGGGTTTAGGGTTTAGGGTTTAGGGTTTAGGGTTTAGGGTTTAGGGTTTCGGGCTAAAGTTTTAGGCTTTAGGGTCGGGCCACAGCTGCCCTTTGCATGTTGCGAAGCTTTCGAGGATACTCGGCTTCGGCGCCATCTCACAGCAAACTCTAACCCTAAACCCTAAACCTCTCTTTCATATATAATTTTTAAATGTTAAGGAGTTACTGGGCAAGGTCATTCTTTTACTGGGCAAGGTCATTTTTTCTGGGCAAGGTCATTTTTTTACTGGGCAAGGTCGTTTCGTCCAAAAAACCGTCCTTGCCCAGTAAAAAATGACCTTGCCCAGCCAAAAAATGACCTTGCCCAGTAAAAATGTTACTGGGCAAGGTCATCTTTTTTACTGGGCAAGGTCATTTTTTTACTGGGCAAGGTCATCTTTTTACTGGGCAAGGTCATTTTTTACTGGGCAAGGTCATTTTTTTACTGGGCAAGGTCATTTTTTTACTGGGCAAGGTCATTTTTTACTGGGCAAGGTCATTTTTTTACTGGGCAAGGTCATTTTTTTACTGGGCAAGGTCATTTTTTTACGGGGCAAGGTCATTTTTTTACTGGGCAAGGTCATTTTGCTACTGGGCAAGGTCATGTTGTTACTGGGCAAGGTCATTTTTTATTGGGCAAGGTCATTTTTTTGCTGGGCAAAGTCATTTTTTACTGGGCCAGGTCGTTCCATAAGTGAAATATTTTCTTAATGTTGTGGGATTCTTTGGGCGGGTGGGTGTTTTTTCTGGAATAATTTCTTGACTAGTGAATGCTTGGACTTGAGATGCTGAACCCTAAACCCTAAACCCTAAACCCTAAACCCTAAACCCTAAACCCTAAACCCTAAACCCTAAACCCTAAACCCTAAACCCTAAACCCTAAACCCTAAACCCTAAACCCTAAACCAGGCCTGGCGGTGACCCATCGTCACTTGACGGTTGCAGCACGGCTCCGCCACTGACCTTGATGGCCTCGACACTCCATCAATTCAGGGGTATAAAGAGGGACCCTTGTATCTTATTCCCCTATAGAACCCCTATATATACCTTATATATATATATATATATATATATATGTATGTGTGTGTGTGTCGGGGGCGTGAGCATAAAAAAAAAAAAAATATATATATATATATATATATATTATAGTCCTATATTATGCCTAAGTAGCCCCTAACGAGCCTCCACATTAACCCTGAGGTCCCCTATAAGGTCCCTAAACCCTAAACCCTCGACCCTAAACCCGAAATATCCCCCAAACAACCTGTAAGGTCTCTTGTAAGGGTCCCTCCTTTCGTCCCCAGACTCCTGCACAGGGCCCGAGATGCTCATGGGGAGTGGTGTGGTTTAGGGTTTAGGGTTTAGGGTTTAGGGTTTAGGGTTTAGGGTTAGGGTTTAGGGTTTAGGGTTTAGGGTTTAGGGTTTAGGGTTTAGGGTTTAGGGTTTAGGGTTTAGGGTTTAGGGTTTAGGGTTTAGGGTTTAGGGTTTAGGGTTTAGGGTTTAGGGTTTAGGGTTTAGGGTTTAGGGTTTATGGGTTTAGGGTTTAGGGTTTAGGGTTTAGGGTTTAGGGTTTAGGGTTTAGGGTTTAGGGTTTAGGGTTTAGGGTTTAGGGTTTAGGGTTTAGGGTTTAGGGTTTAGGGTTTAGGGTGTCGTGTTTACGGTTTAGGGTTTCGGGTTTCGGGTTTAGGGTTTACCTAACCCCTTGCAGGTGAGCGTCAGTGTCTGCCAACTTCATTCGTCTTCGCTCCGGCCTTGAGCAGCATCCTCCCTCCTTGTTTCAAGCAGGTTCTTGCACGCATGCCGGCAACTCCCTAAACCCTAAACTTCTGGACCTTCGGGGGCAGGGCATATGCCATGTGCACGCGGGGGGTGGGGGCATATGGGGAGCATATGGCAGAGCAGCGAAAGCAACGGTCCGTGGACTGCTATACTCCCCTTAGAACCTGAACAAATCCTTCACAGCTGTTTTTTTCATATTCCCTTGAGTTTTATCATGGTTGTCTATAAACAAAGATGCAAAATAAAGTCCTAGGGGGGGGGTATTAGTATAGTTAACATCACGCAGCTG